TATTATCTTGACACATATAATACATATTAGGCTTTTGACCATTGACGAAGTAAATTTTTGATTTATTAGAATTCTAATAAAGTTATAATATTATTTATTAATCAAATATCTGACAATTTATATTTTATTAAACATATCTTGCAAGAAAAGTTCACTTATCTATTCATCTCTACAACGCACGAATCATATGAGACATATCTATATACAATAACAAAGAAAATAAACATTACTCTATCAAAAAAATCAGATTGTGCGTGCATGAAGAGTTAAGAAAATCTTTCATTTGAATAATCAAATATGAGGAAAATATTTGCTATTGTTTCCATTATTGGTTTTATGTGACATCATGCGTTCGAATGGTAAACGTCGTTGAATAGTTGATGTATGTGTTGTTGATATAGTTGTTTTTCGAGGTTCTGAACTAACCATTCGTTGTCGATGAGTATTATTTAAAGTTGAAATTGTTGGAGTCTTGGGTGAATATGGTGGTAACATTGCATTATTTGACAATGTTTTACAATTTGAACCTGCATTTTCTTTACAATTAATATGACATGATTGTGAACAATATGAACAACGATATGATACCGAACCAAAATTGATTCGTTTAAGACACTATCAAATAGAAAATTTTATTAAATGATTTTATTTTATAAATGACATAATTTTACCACAAAACAAGTTTCTGGTTTGAAAATTTTTCTTGATATAAAACGATGTACTAGAGTAGATATTTTCGTTGATGTCATTGATAAAGTTTGTTCAATTGATGAAGATGATGCTGTTTTTGTACTGCTTAATGTTGATGATGATAGAGTATTATCGCTATCTAAAAAGAAAAAAATTGATTTTTGCTTGGCATATAAAAAAGAGACAAAAGAATCTTACTAATTGTCAAACAACTTTGTTGTTCATTACATGAATTATCAATCATTTTAATATCAGTTGAAACAGTAAATGGTCGAGTTATATTTTTTGATGTATAGCATTCAAATGTTGTTTGAGCAATAATACGTTGTGATGGAGAGTTAGTCTATTAAAACGATATATATAAACAAAACAAAAAAAAATAATTAATTTTTTTACTATTTGTTGTGAATCTTCATATCGAAGACGTTTGGGTGGTGAACTTATTTTTTCTAAATCATTTTCATCATGATTTAACAAACGTTTTTTAGTTGATGATTGAGGAAGAACAACACGTGGATGCATTATGATACTTTCATTTTGATCATCATCAATTGTACAATTACGACTATCAAGTTCATCTTCATCTTCATCTTCTGATGATATGTCATCTCTATAATTGAGTTTGGTTGTTTTTTTTTATTAAATAATTATTGATTAAAAACAAACCTTAATCTATCTTCACATATCTTTTTAATATAATGTAATTGATCTATGGGTGATGTATGATGACTACGATAACTTATTATATCGTAGATTTGTTGAATTGTTTTATGCTAAAATGTAGATATAGAAGAATTAAGATATTGATTTTTGATATTATGCTAAAAGAATTTTAGTACAGATCAACATAGAATTATAGGTAAACTTCTATTTACTTAGATTCGAAAGATAACATTTTTAAATGAATCTCAACTATATCATTGCACTTATTTTGTATAGATCTAATTAGTAAACGTATATTTGGCTACATCCAGATTGCGGACATTCTTTTCTGCCAATTAACAAAAAATATCCGCAGAGTGGAATCAGATGGAGACAAAAATGATCGCATATTGAGAAATGTCCGCAAAGCAGAATATGGGGATAGAGAGGAAATAACCGCATTGTAAAATAAAAACAAGACTTTTTATGTGAAAAAAATACAGAGAAGTCATTAATCAAAGACAATTAAATATCTAATTTTGTGGAGGTTCATGATCAAAATCATCTTTGTCAGTTGTATCGAATACCTTAATACATCAATAACAACGAGTGCTATCGTTTTTGATAATCACTAACCATAAAATTCAAGACACCATTCAAATATTCTTCTTTTACTTTAATCAAAATGTTTTCATTGGCCACTGATGTGGTTCTTCTAGAATGTGTAGAATATTGTTGAACTTATTCTTGCGTCACCCACACTATTGTTGATCCTTCTGACTTCTGGATATATCTTATCCAGGTCCATAAGTTTGGATGAATTTGACAATATGAACTTAATTGACCATGATAACCCTCAACATGATTGTTAGTTTTTGGTCGAATTCCACCGGGATCAAATAAATTCCAAAATGATAATGTTTGAATATTATTCCATTATTACCAGATTGTGTGGTAATTGTAGAAAAACTGTTATTGTTCATGATGGACATTCTTATTTAATTTATCTAACTTGATTTCTGTTACTTTAAATACTATCGTCCACATAAACGTTAAAAAATGTCCTAGGCGATACGTGACATTCGACACTAGACTAGCTCGTAGAATGTGATATTCATTCTTAAATCGAGCTACCTACATTGACCACCCTTAAACATATTTGCTTCCGCTTGTTTTCATAATACAGATATTTTTATCTCCTCTCCTCAATTCCGCATTGCGGACATTTTCCAATGTGCGGTCATTTTTGTCTCTGCCACCAATTCTATTTTGTAGACATTTTTTTCTTTCAATTAATGAAAAATGGCCGCAGAGTAGAAGACCCGGTATATTTATCTTCTTGCTATTCGATTCAGTTGACTCCTCTAAGCTAGGATTGGTTATAATTAGATATCAAAAGTGACTCTAATCACACTTTAATGGCACTTCTAGAAGCAAATTATTAGCTCCAATTCAATTGAAATAGTCATCAACTGCGCCTCATGTAAGTTTGAACTATCACATGTTTATCCTTTCATGATACAGTAATGAGCAAAAAATCTCTTATCCTTTGCACTGGATCTTGGTTACTATACATATTGAAGGTCTGAAAATTCCTTTGTACATACTCCAACAAGAATATAGGTCAGAGGCCTGAATATGATGTCATTACTTAACTACAACAGGAATTAGAATGAACAGCAACTAATTTTGTTCAAAGAATTTTAACCGAAAAAGAAATATATCCCTACTAAACTATGTGTTACATGTAATTAAATACGTAGTTAATTCTTGATATTTTACCATACAACATAAGTTGAGTCTATGCTCTTTCTTTATACAAAAGAACAGATAATGTATTGAAAGAGTGTAGTCTCTGATTCCCCGGTATCAACACAAGAATTATTATTCGCATGCTGTTTTCATTTAGTAGATGATTCTTTTCATAGACTTGTAGAGAATCATGTTTAACTACAAATAAAACTTCTTTAAAATTTTTAACAAAGATTGATAAACTTCGATAATATTAATAATATAGATAGTTGAAACATATCATCCAATAATCAAAAATTCTTTGATTCTCAACACTCTTTCTTTTTCAGAGTTATGAAATTCAACAAATAAATAAACACTAGTCATTACTATCTATCATAATGTTTACTGTACTTAAGCAATACGGACCGAGTTTGTGTCTCATAGTTTCAGATATTCAACATGTATGCTGCTCGAGACATAGAGAAAGAAAGTACTTTTGTCCATTAACTGTATTTTTTTTATTTATCCAAATTTTATACATAAATGATTCGATTGAAATTTTTACTTACTAATCTAACAGCTCGATTTGCTGAATTAAGACGACGTTGTCGTTGATCTTGAATTTGTTGACTAAAAAAACAACAAATATTTTGTCCTTTTTTTGAAATTAAAATAAAAATTTTTACCTTTGTGATTTTGTTTTTAATGTAACACTTTTTAATTGATTTTCAAGTTGTTTAACAATTTGTCCTTGTTCATCATATCGTTTTAATAAAGCAAATAAATCTAAACAATTTCTTGAATTTTTCTTTAAAGAAAATAAAAAGAAAAAAAGAAACACACCATCTTCGGTTGTATTATCAATAAGCAATCGTTGATTATAGGCTAACACACCAAGTGCATGTGTTGTTTGTTGAAGTTTAATTTTAAATCTATCGCACATCTAGAAGAAAACTAAAAAAAACAAGTTTTGTTGATTTATATTAAGGTAATAAGAGAAGCATTGATAAAGGCAACACAAAACACAATAAACAAGTTTTTTTCTTTTGCGACGATTACGTTCATTTCACTTGTAAATACACAACAGAACTCTTTGTCATATTAAAAGTTCCAAGTGAATTTGAATCTTAAATCAATATTTCAATATAAAGTAGTTTTTGCTTT